GAAACTAATAAAACAATAAAATATTAAATCCTAAGGTAAGTAAATATCCTACTACCATAAAATCCTAAATCTAGTAGATCTCCAAATTACTTGACTTGCACTCCAAGAACTTCTAGAAGCTTAAGTCTTGCGCCCAAGTACTTCGTCCGCCTCACGCACGCCGACTCCGCGCGCGCCGACTTGCGCGTTGCCTACTCCTTGTGCTGCTAGGCATCGTGCGCCTTGCCTTGCATGCGCGCGCGCACCGCCCCGCTCGCCTAGTCCTTTGATGACTAGGTCTCGCGCGCCTGCTGCGCCACTCCTATTCCTTGTAGGACCATGCTTCGAGCCCATATCTACTATTCCTATTACTACTAGGAATATTCTCTCGGTTACGTTTCTTGATGTTCCGAGGATTACTCCTGTCACCAATCTTTCACGCGCGTTTCGGCACTCAACTGCTTTTCCTATTCCTGCGGGGATTAGTATTCGCACCTTGCCTATTCCTACGAGGATTAGGCTTGCCACGCCGGTCTTGACTTGTGCCTCGCGTGTGTCGCCTTGCGCCCCGCGCTCGTCGTCCAGCGCGCCCAATGCCCGCGCATCGCCCATCACTCGATTCGTGCCCGTCCATCCGCAGCAACCCCCCTCGCGCGCCATCCACCCAACAACCTCCCCCTGCGCGCCACTTCGCTTAACCTCCAAGCGCCATGCGCGTCTACGCCAATAAGCGTGTGCGCGCCCTTGCTTAATGCACCTCTCCGTGCGTGTGAGCGTTGCTAGCCTCGAGACCATTTTCTTGCGTGCCCTCGCACAGCTCCATGCGCGACCCTCATTAGCTGCTTCGTGCGCTCGTGCATCACGTCCGTGCACTCCTCGATCCAAGCCCGTCTGCATACGCACTCGTACCCGTCTTTTAGGCCATGCATACGTCGTTTTGGCCCTATTTTCAGCCTCATCGATTTGTCTCGGCTCTCGGTCCTTCTTGTCGTCGGGGGTCAAAACCCATTTACGCATCATTTCCGCCCCCTTTGAGAATGTCCTTGTCCCCAAGAACTCATCTTCGACTATCCAAACCTCGGGAACTCTTTCTTCAATCTCTCGACCATTGTGCTCATCGTACTCACGGTCCTCGACGACTTCGACCATGCCCTTACTCTCGACATCGACTTTCACGTCCTCCAAATTCCTCTCCTCGCCAAGCCCCTCTTCGATCGCGATTACCTCGACCTCGGCCAAAGTTTTCACGTCAACTTCGATCACTTCTTCACCCTCGGTTTGCTTGACTTCTTCGACGTCCGCGGTTCTGTCATTGTCGGACATCGGTGGACCCAAGTAATTGATCGAGAAATCCTCGCCCATGGTCCCCTTGTCGAGCGCATGTGGTTCACCATACTCGACTTGGCCGACCTCACGCCTTGCGACCTTGTCTTCACCATAGCCCGATAGATCGAACTTAAACAATGGCTCTTCTTCGACGAACTACTTCATGATCTTGAGTTGTCGTTCGTACTTCTCTTTTTGCTCGTACAACTCCTCCAAATAATTTTGCTCCCATGAGGTCAAACTCCTCTCCAACCCTTCTAAATATTCAAGATCCTCCCAATCCAACTCAACTAATGGCTCGAACATCATGACTCTTTTTTTTTTTAAGACTCTAAGTAATAAAAATCAAACAACTAGGATGACACTTTTTTTTTTTACTCAAATTTTCGAAAAATATAGCGAAAATTTAAAAAAAAAAATCGATCCCCCAAAAAAGAACAAAAATTCAAAAAATTTGAACAAAAAAAGAACAAAAATTCGGCCCCCTCAGCAAAAGGAGAAACCGAAAAAAGAAAAAAGATAGATAGACAAAAATACGATCAGCACCTCTCAATGAAAGCACCAATGATGACGGATCGGATTTTTGTCTATACTCGGGTTGTGAATAATCGCACACTCAGGGCCTTCGATTACTCACGATTGGTGTATCTAACAGACGCACTATCGGCCTTCTCCTAGACACTGTGACTTCAAGACGCTCTAATGGCCTTCTTTCCGACACTGTATGTAAACACGCACTAACGGCCTTGTTTATCACACGTTAGAACATAAAGTTCCCCTCTCAATTGGCTCACCAATTCAATACTCAATTCAACATGAAAATAATGAAGAATACATGGGGTATTTATAGGTGCTAATTACCTCTAGTGCTAATCTTAAAAGGAAATTAAAAAACAATAAAATATTAAATCTTAAGGTAAGTAAATATCCTACTACCATAAAATCCTAATTCTACTAGATCTCCTAATTACTTGACTTGCACTCGATGAACTTCTAGAAGCTTAAGTCTTGCACCCAAGTACTTCGTCCGCCTCACGCACGCCGCCTCCGCGTGCGCCAACTTGCGCGTTGCCTACTCCTTGTGCTGCTAGGCGTCGCGCGCCTTGCCTTGCACGTGCGCGCGCACCGCCCCACTCGCCTAGTCCTTTGATGACTAGGTCTCGCGTGCCTGCTGCGCCACTCCTATTCCTTGTAGGGCCATGCTTCGAGCCCATATCCATTATTCCTATTCCTACTAGGAATATGCTCCCGGTTAGGTTTCCTGATGTTCCGAGGATTACTCCCGTCACCAATCTTTCACGCGCGTTCCGGCACTCAACTGCTTTTCCTATTCCTGCGAGGATTAGTATTCGCGCCTTGCCTATTCCTACGAGGATTAGGCCTGCCACCCCGGTCTTGACTTGTGCCTCGCGTGTGTCGCCTTGCGCCCCGCGCTCGTCGTCTGGCGCGCCCAATGCCCGCGCATCGCCCATCGCTTGATGCGCGCCCGTCCATCCGCAGCAACCCCCCTCGCGCGCCATCCACCCAACAACCTCCCCCTACGTGCCACATCGCTTAACCTCCAAGTGCCATGCGCGTCTACGCCAATGCGCGTGTGCGTGCCCTTGCTTAATGCACCTCTCCGTGCGTGTGAGCGTTGCTAGCCTCGAGACCATTTTCTTGCGTGCCCTTGCGCACCTCCATGCGCGACCCTCATTAGTCGCTTCGTGCGCTCGTGCATCACGTCCATGCACTCCTGGATCCAAGCCCATCCGTATACGCGCTCGTACCCGTCTTTTAGGCCATGCATACGTCATTTTGGCCCTATTTTTAGCCTCATCGGTTCGTCTCAACTCTAGGTCCTTCTTGTCGTCGGGGGTCAAAACCCACTTACGCATTAATAGCCCGTGTGGCAGTGCCCAACAGCGTGCCGCCAGCGTGACACGGAAGTGGTTATTAACCCCGGTGAGTCCGAGGACGAGTCTATCGAAGACCACGACTTATGGCTGGAGAACATGCTCGAGGAGCCACAAAGCCCAATTCATCAACCTTTATGCAAGCGAGATTGGCTGAGAGGATGTGGACCGAGGTCAAGAAGGCGCAAGGCCAAAAGACAGCACAAGCCAAGGACTAAGGTGATGAACGGATGGTGCAAAGCTTGTGCGAGGAGGAGACGCGCATGGCGCATGGAAGCTAGGAGATTGGGTGCACGAGGGGTGGAAGATGGGTGGACTGCTCGTGTGGGCGATTGCCATGGGCTAGCGGATGATTGTGCGAGAGTACAGCTAATACGCGAGTGGCACGCATCGGACGATGATGCGCACGATGGAGTGGACGGCACATGGGCAGTGCTAGGCGCACGCGGGTGCGCGGCTGACGAGCAGGCCGCTGGCGAGTGGCGCGGGATGCGCGGGTCCCTGGGCAAGCGCGACGAGGGCGCGGAGGCGTCGAGCGTGGGTAGCAACCGCGAGGGTGGTTGGAACGCGCGCGAGGAGTTCGACAACGATGGGGCATGCCCGATGGCATGCGCGTGCGGGGCAGGTGCGCGAAGCCTAAGCCGCGCGGGCTTAGGAATGCTGGATGGAGCACACACGCGCGAGGATAAAGGCAATAGCGAGGAGCGCGCCAAGGGGCGCGATTGGGACGCAAGCGCGCGAGGCCTAATCCGCGCAGGACTAGGCGCAGCTGGGGCGGCGGACGATGCATGGGAGCAGCGCGCACGTGAAGCCGCGTGCGACGAGGAATAGGCGACCGAAGGGCGGCGCGCGGCACAGGCGGCTAGGGTTCGGCATGCGCGGCATTGAGGCGGTCGAATAGATTGGAGTGCAAGGCAAGGAAGATCAAGACCTTCTAGCTATTTAGGATTCTAGTAGATATTTACTTTCCTTCTTGTATTACTAGTAAAAGATGTTAGGATATTTAGTTCCTTTAGGATTTATTTTATTGCATGGTTTAGGAGATCTAATTAGACTAGGATTAGATTTATTTTGCACCTATAAGTACGGGTCTTCCCTCATTGTTTTTCATGTCCATAATTGATGAGTTGAATAGAAAAGAACGTTTGTTCATCCGTGTGTTTAATATTCGAGAGAGTGTTATCACACAACCGAGGGAAGCGAGGCTGGCTACCAAGTGAACTCAAAATCGTGAGAGGTGAGGCTAAGACCCGAGTTAATCACACTTATCATTGAGAGCGAGCTGTTGCGAAGCTTTGTTCGAGGCAAGCGAGTTGAGACAAACACACGATCCTTAATCATTGGTGCTCTCGTTGAGAGTGATTGATTGTGTGTTTTGTTAAACTTTTCCTATCCCATTCTTTTTCTTTTTGTCCGATTTTTTCCCCGTATTTTTCGAATTTTTTCGAATTTCTTTTCTTCTCTTTCGAAATTTTCAAGAGTATCAAAAAAAAAAAAGGAGAGCTATGACAAACCGTGAGAGGTTTGATATGTTGGAAGAAAGCGTGAGGTCCCTTGGCAACGGACAACATGTGGTCAACGAGAACATGGCAAAGTTGGAGCTTATGATTCAAGACTTGGCGGGGAAGCTCGAGCGAGCCACCTACCACATGCGGAGGAGCCACACATCAAGGTTGACCATGGCAGAGACGAGTAGCTCGGCGTCTAGTCGCGAGGACGATAGCGAGCGCTCGCGGGCGACGCGCGCGACGTGCATAACCCGGCACAACGGCGAATGGCGACACCACGGCGATCGGCAAAATCGAGAGGAGTCCACACATACACGCCCGAGGATCACAATGCCGACATTCGAGGGAACCGATCCAGACGCATGGTTAAGTCGTTCCATGCAATTTTTCGAAATCAATGAGGTACACAAGTCCGAGAGAGTCAAGATTGCTGCCTATTATTTGGATGGTGAAGCCAACACATGGTGGCAATGGGTGTCACATGTCTACAAAAACAAAGGCGAGCAAATCAGATGGAGAGATATTGAGAAGGAGCTGATTACCAGGTTTGGATCTAGTGATTATTTCGATTATGATGAGGCTTTTTCAAGGATCCGTCAAACTGGTAGTCTACGCGACTATCAAAAGGAGTTTGAGAGGATTACTAGCAGGGTACGTGATTGGCCCGAGAGTGCACTTGTTGGAGCTTTTGTTGGAGGCTTGAGAGCCGAACTGGCTGCTGAGGTGCGCTTGGACAGGCCGAGATTGACTAGGGCTGCGATGGAGGCCGCACGGTTGCATGAAGACCACCAAGCGACCGTGCGCAAGGCAACCCGGGGAGACGGGCGCGCCAAACCGAGGCGCGCAAGCGCGGCAGCAACCGACGAGGTGCCCCCACGGGCTGAGATCAAGCAGGCAGTCAGTGATGGGACGCGTACCACGAGTAAAATGCGACAGCTGATGGATGATGAAATCCAAAGGCGAAGAGGGAAGGGCCTACGCTTCACGTGCAACAAACGATACACACCGGGCCATAAATGCAGAGGTCAAGAAGTCTATTTGTTTGAGTTTGAAGAAGATCATGATAGTAAATTACTTGAGGAGACCTTACTGCATGTGGTCAAGTGCAAAAAATGAGGCCCGAAGATGATCAAGTTTACTGCTGAGATAAAGGATATGTTGTTGGAGGTACTTGTTGATAGTGGGTCAAGTTTGAATTTCATTGATGAGGAGATAGCCAGAAGATTGAAGTTGGTACCTACAAAATTCAAGACGTTTGTGGTCAAAGTGGCCAATGGGCAGGAACTACGAGGAAATCAGTTGTTCAAGAAAGTTCCCATCATGGCGCAAGATTAAGAGCTAAAGATTTACCTCTATGCCTTATCGCTTAAGGCTACCGATATATTGTTGGGGGTGCAGTGGATCGAGACGCTTGGGCCCATCACGACCGACAACAAGCGAGGAAAGATGGAGTTTGGACGACCAAGAAAATGAATTAAGTTGCGAACAGAGGATCAAGGCGACTCGTCTATTGAAAAGGACGACGATGACGATGTTGATGTATTGAAATTCATTATCCTTGAGGACAAGGAAAGTCTCGAAGAGGAAGGGAATGATAGGGAAGCGGTTATTAACCCCGGTGAGTCCGAGAACGAGTCTATTGAAGACCACGACTTATGGCTGGAGAACATGCTCGAGGAGCCACAAAGCCCGATTTATCAACCTTCATGCAAGCGAGATTGGCCCAGAGAATGTGGACCGAGGTCAAGAAGCCGCAAGGCCAAAAGACAGCCCAAGCCAAGGACTAAGGTGATAAACGGATGGTGCAAAGCTTGTGCGAGGAAGAGACGCGCATGGCGCATGGAAGCTAGGAGATTGGGTGCACGAGGGGTGGAAGATGGGTGGAGTGCTTGTGCGGGCGATTGCCATAGGCTAGCGGACGATTGCGCAGGCGTACGGCTAATACGTGAGTGGCGCGCATCGAATGATGATGCGCGCGATAGAGTGGACGGCACACGGGCAGTGCTGGGCGCACGCGGGTGCGCGGCAGACGAGTAGGCCGCTGGCGAGTGGCGTGGGATGTGCGTGTCACTGGGCAAGCGCGACGAGGGCATGGAGGCGTCGAGCATGGGCAACAACTGCGAGAGTGGCTGGGACGCACGCGAGGAGTTCGGCAGCGATGGGGCGTGCGCGATGGCATGCGCGTGCGGGGTAGGTGCGCGAAGCCTAAGTTGTGCGGGCTTAGGAATGCTGGACGAAGCACACGCGCACGAGGAGAACGGCGATAGCGAGACGCGCCAAGGGGCGCGATTGGGATGCAGGCGTGCGAGGCCTAATCCGCGCAGGACTAGGAGTAGCTGGGGCGGCAGACGACGCGCCGCGCGCGACGAAGAATAGGCGGTCGAAGGGCGGCCCGCGGCACGGGCGGCTAGGGTTCGGCGTGCACGGCATTGAGGCGGTCGAATGGATTTGAGTGCAAGGCAAGGAAGATAAAGACCTTCTAGCTATTTAGGATTCTAGTAGATACTTACTTTCTTTCTTGCAATACTAGTAGAAGATGCTAGTATATTTAGTTGCTTTAGGAATTGTTTTATTGCATGGTTTAGGATATCTAATTAGACTAGGATTAGATTTATTTTGCACCTATAAATAGGGGTCTTCCCTCATTGTTTTTCATGTCCAGAATTGATGAGTTGAATAGAAAAGAACGTTTGTTCATCCGTGTGTTTAATATTCGTGAGAGTGTTATCATACAACCGAGGGAAGCGAGGCTAACTACCGAGTGAACTCAAAATTGTGAGCGACGAGGCTAAGACCCGAATTAATCACACTTATCGTTGAGAGAGAGCTGTGGCGAAGCTTTGTTCTAGGCAAGCGAGTTGAGACAAACACATGATCCTTCATCATAGCGACCATGCGTGCAGTGCACGCCAGCGCGCCCGGCAGCACGTAGTCAGGCCACGTGCGTACGTTCGCAGCATGCAGTGAGCATGGGCAGTGCCCCAGTCGTCCGCAGCACACGCGCATACCGCCAACCAACAGTGCTCAGCGCACGCTGGCTAGTCCCAGCGCACGCCAGCGCGCCCGACAGCGCTTCAGCAGTGCCCAGCAGGCCTCGGCCAGTTCCCGGCAGCACGCCCGAGCGCCCAGTCACCTTAGCACGCACGAGTAGCGTAGCCCGCGTGCCCAGTCGCCTGCCCGTGGCGCACAGAAGACAGCGTGCTCGGCAATGGCCAGTCGCTCCCGGCAGCGCCCAGTTGCGCCCGGCAGTGCCCAGTTGCGCGTTCGAAGCGCCCTGTAGCCGTCGACAGTGTACAGCAGCACGCCGATAGCCGTCCCTAGCGCATGCGTGGTGCCATTCGCACCCGCAAGTGCACAGACCATGGCCAGCCACGCACGGGGCCGCGTCAAGGCCGCGCCTAGTGCGTGCGTGCGACCGTGTCGGTGGCCCAGCCAGCGGCCGACCGCCCGGCCACAGTGAGTCGGCGGTCCGGCCAGCCAGTGAACCGGCCGGTTCAGAAAGGTTACTTGAGCGGTTCAGGACTCAGTGACCCGATCCCAGTTCAGTCAGTTCAGTCAGTTCAGTTAGTTCAGTTCAGTATTTTCAGTTCAGTTCAGATTTATCGGTCAAGTTAGAACCCGAGATTATTTCAGTAAATCTAGTTAAAAATATTTAAGTTCGAGTCGAACATCTTAGCAGTTATTTTCAGTCAGTCTGAGCATAGTACTTAGTGTTTGTTTATTTATACATTTTTACAGTTTGATCAGCAACAACACTTACATATTCAGACCAGCAGTTCAGGTGGGGACTCAAACTGAGTATTACATTGAGTATAATTACAGCTATCATGTCAAGGTATGTATATACAGCTCCGCTTAGAATGGTGGCCGGTTCAGGTGCCCTAAATCCATTCTGAGTTCTAGTGGCGTAATCTACCCACAAGGATGTGCACATGGTTCCGGTGGAGTTTATTATAGCCGGCAGATACAGTATCTGATCCAGTAGCTGTTTATACTGTTGATCAGCCAGTCATGGACATAGACACAGATTATATATATGCCTTTGATCATGATATCGCAATTATTATTACTGTTTTATTTCAGTATGAGTTTCTGTGGAGCACAATGGCTTTTAGTGCTTACGCCCCTACTATATTATCTTTTTCAGGTCACAGGGTCAGTCCTGAGGAGTGAGCTGCGCCGGTGGTCATGGATTTGTTTGTATATGTCTTTTACAGACTTTTGGACATGTATATATTTATTTTGCCACGTTTTGACTTCCGCTGACGTTTCAGGTTTTCAGTCTCGCATGTTAGTTTTCAAAATTTTGATCCGATTTACCAGTCGGATTTTGTACAGTAATACATGCTTGTCTAGGTAAATATAATCCGTTTTCTTAACAGTTTTCATTCAGAAAAGATAACGGAATTTTCAGAAAAAAAAGGTTTCTCAGTAGCATCCCGAATCACAATTTCGCAAACTATTAAGTATTTTCAGGTAAGTTTTGCGATAATTTAACTCTGATTTTAATAAGTCAGCGGGGTGTTACAATTGGTATCAGAGCACGTTTTTGTGTATCTGAATACTTTATTAAGTCAGAAAGTTTCCAGAAAATTCGACCACGCCACGTTCACGCCTTGCCGACTACCAGGTAATTGCAGATTTTTACAAGTTTTATATAGATAAACAAATGTTTAAGTTTATGCTCAGTAGTGTGTCAAATATTGACCCTAGAAACTAGTATAGATGCTCGAGTCAGTCATGGAGTATTTTCAAGATATAGTCGAATTATTCCAGTTTATTTGATTATTCGACTCTAGTTTTCTCGGGTTAATTTTAGCTACTCGTCAAGAGATTTGTGTGCTTTAGCAATCAATTAGTTGTGCTATATTTCTGTGTTTGATCAAAGTGAACATTTGATTATACAGATGGCACGACGTAGAGATCAGGATCATCATGAGATTCCTCAAGCTACTGTAGTCGCCCAGTTTCGCGACTACCACCCAGAGAAGTTTTCTGGTTAGGGAGATCCCCGACTAGTTGACGAGTGGATCCAGGGCCTTGAGATGATTTTTGAGGTCATGGACTGTCCTGAGCATTACCGCGTACTTTGTGCCCAGATCCAGATGACTGGAGACGCACACCTTTGGTGGAATGCCTACTGGGGAATGCGTCCTGGCGAGAAGGAGCATTGTACGTGGGATCGGCTCAAGGAGCTAATGCGTGAGAAGTATTATCCAGCCTATCATCGCGCAGAGCTTGTGCATCAGTTCTTGGCGCTCAGACAGGGTACCCGTTCTGTGGACGAGTACGAGCGTGAGTTTTTCGACTCGGATTCTTCGTTCTCGAGCTTTTGGGTTCGAAGTAGAAAAGGTCAAGGCGTTTCATCGACGGACTTTTGCCAGTAGTTCGTCACAACATCGTTGGACATGGTGTCCAAACCTATGTCGATACCGTCAAGCGAGCCCAAGAGATTGATGCAAACATTCAGAGGGAGGCCATTCCGATTCCAGCCCAGCTTGTTACCCAACCACTACCAGCACCACCTGCCCAACCAGTAGCTGCCCAGCAACCGAAGAACAAAGGGAAGAGGAAGGGGATAGAATTTCAGGATGATCAGAGAAACCGCCCAAATAACAGCAACCAGTCCCACTTTTGTAACACCCCGCTTCTTTAATACATCAGAGTACGCGATTTTTCGCAAATTTTCT